GGGTGAGGGGCGCGGGGGGCGGGGCCGGCGTGGCGGAGCCTGGTGGTCCGCGGGTGGGGGTGGCCCGGCCTTGCGGGATGAGCCCTGCCGGCTTCTGGTGTCCCCGTGAAGGGCTCTGGCCCTTGGACTCCTGTCATGTGGCTCTGCTTGTCATGATAGAGCCTCAGCTCTTGTCATGGGTGCTTCGGTGTCATGATTGGGGCTGATGTCACCAGGTCCCTGTATTTGAAGGACCCTACTATCCCATTACAGAGCTTCCTGGCATGTGTCACTTCCAAGGCTTCTTCCATGGGAATTCCAGGGATATGGTGGGGCGCTTGTCATCCTGGGGGAGACCTGACAGTTGTGGGTGTCTGTGTACTATGAACGTTTCTGTCATGGAGCTGTTTCTGGGGGTCTGAGCCCTCATCTTGGGGGTCTGTGTCATCACCGGGCCCCTTCCTCCAGTGTTCTGGGGCAGAAGGCATGGAGCCTAAGGTGGAAGCAGTTGTGAGGGCAGCCCTCCTGGTGCATCATGTGGTTTAGCCCTCTGGCCAGAGCACAATGACCCTGAGCTCTTGGCTGTGACCTCTGGGTGGGTGTCAGAGCCAGGAGGGTGGAGGGACCGTGGTCACTGGGGACACGAGCAGGAGTGGCCCCTGCCTCTGCCTTCTGTCCCATCCGTGTGTCCATCTGTGTGTCTGTCCCCCACATGCTTGTCCTGTGCCGAGCCCATCTGTTCCTTTCCCTCTTCTGTTGGGTCCCAAGATCTTCCCAGGGAAGAATCTGGGAGGATGTGGGAAGAGAAGGAGAGCCAGGGTGAGGGTTACGGGCAGAACCTGTTCCTGAGGAGGCTGGGAGGCCACTGTCCTGCAGCTCCCTACTACTCTCACCTCCTGTCTGGCTTCTGTCTCTCCAGTGCTCAGCATCGGGGAAGGCGGCTTCTGGGAGGGGACCGTGAAGGGTCGCACAGGCTGGTTCCCAGCTGACTGTGTGGAGGAGGTGCAGATGCGACAGTATGACACGAGGCGTGGTGAGTGACCTGGGCCCCCAGGCAGTTCCTGAGGACACCGCCCTTCCAGCCTCCCTTGGGTCTCTTGGGCACTGAATCTGGACATTCACAGAGGAAAGACGAGGAGTGCATTCAGACACACCCAAAGTAGATGGAAACTTGTGCACATAACACAGACACAGTGTGTACACAGTGGGTTATGTGTGCATGCAACCTGGTACCGTACACGCCACAGAAACACCTGTGATATGCCCACAGGAGGCACACCCTCGTGACCATGCCTCTGTGTGAGTGATCCCACACGTGACTCCTGTGACTGTAACCACCCCTCCTGCCTAGTCCTCACAGAAATACCAGGTGCTAGGAGCTTGCAATTCATGTGTGGCTGGCAGACCAGTAAGGAGGTCAGTGTGAGAAAAGAGGCGTTTTTCCAAAGTGGACAGATTGTCCAAGTGGGCAGAGCAGGAGGCCTGGACCAGCCAAGAGGAAATGAGGCCAGTTGGGCCCCAAGGGGCAGTTGTAGGTACCCTGGGGCTGAGGGCAGCCAGTGAGGGATGGCCCCTGTCCTCAGCAAGAACCATGTGAAGGTGAAGGCTGCAGCTCCTAGAGGTGGAATGGCCCTAGTCCAAGCTGAATACCTGAGCTTCTAGAAGGGCCCCCTCTGGTCCTCTGGTAGATTCGGTGGCTGGTCCTTTGGAGCTCACTCCACGGGCCGGCTGCAGGTCTGGGATCTGACTTTGCAGTGAGCCCTCAGAACCTAGGCAGACCCAGGAAGTTACTTCTGGCCCAGAGAACTAATGGGATGAAGGAGCCCCTCCTGAGTGGTCACTAGTAGTTGTGTTCTGTGTCTGGATCTAGGTATTTATTTCCCTCCTTCTGCATGTGAAAGGATTGGGTGTAGGGTTGCTGGGTCCCCTTCCCTGGTGTGAGTTTCCCAGGGGAGCCCATTCCCCCCCTGTGGCCAGTACCTCTGCCCGCTGCCCAGCTTGGCAGAGGCCTAGGGAGGCAGGACCTCGGCTGCTGGTCTATTGCTGGCTAGCCTTTGCTTTCTCAGATGGCTGTTCCCTAACTTCCTGAGGTCTTCCTGGTAGCCCTTCTGGAGTGTGGAAGGGCCTGGTCCCTTCTTCTCAGTCTGTGAAGGGTGGGTGTAGTGGGGTCCAGGTGGGAAATGATTTTAGAGATCTGGGCTCTGGTCTGACTGGACAGGAGAGGAGGAAGGGTGGTATCTCTATGCCCGAGGCAGAGGAGCCAGTCCTATGCTCCCCCAGTGTGGGTCACAAAGGTTCTAGTTTGAAAACTGTGGATACAGGTACATTGAGACCTCAGTCTGAAACTTGGGAGGGAGGGAAGTTTGGGCTGGAACCAGAACTCAGGAGCAGGTGTTCACTGGTGTGCCCCATGCTGCACCTAGGCTGGCTTCTCAGAGGCCTGGCCCAGGCATCAAGCAGAGCAGGCGTGCCTGGCAGCCAGGTGGGTGTGCTGTGCCACTGTGGTGGGGCCTGTGGGTGGTCTTGAAGGAGCCAGAGAGGGTGTCCGTGTGCGTCAGGCCCAGACAGTGCTATAGAGCCACACATGGTGTCCCTCCATGTACCTGAGCAGTTCAGTTTTGGTACTTCATCCGTCAAGTGGTGGACAGCAGTCCCAGGAGGCGGGGCCATTTTTACTCACCATTTCTAAGGGAGGCCTCAGCCTGAAGGGTAGGGTCTTTTTGTTCCATAGGCAGGCAGCCTTGTGAGGGATGGCAAGCTGAAGTGGGGGGCCTGAAGCCAGTCATGTGGCTTTGGGGTAGAGGGAAAGGATGGTGTGGTGGTAGGAGTTGACCAGGCCAGGGCTGCTTGATTGTGCAGGTATTTTAATGTCAGGGTCAAGATCCAAACAGGACCGAGCTGTCAGAAGTTCACAGAGAAGAGAGAGAGCCGCGGAGTAGCCGGTGTGGGGACCATGGCCTGAGACCTGAAGGCAGCTGCAGGGCCTCTAGGTGGAGCTGCAGATGAGGGTGTGTAACTGGGGAAGAGGTGTCAGAGGTACTTGGGTAGATGGGAGCTCCTAGGGCTTTGCAGAGGCAGCTTGTAGGCAGTGGGCAGGAGCAGTAATGGCCTCCCTCTGACCTGAGCTGCAGGCCCAGTTAGCTACTCTGGGCAGAACCTCCCACTGGGACTCAGGTTTATTTCTGCTAGAGGCCAGAGAGCAGATTAGCAATAGGAACCTGCTTCCTACAGGCTCAGATTAAAAAAAAAAAAAAAAAATCTGATTCAGGGACCAGAGTGGGGACAGAGAAGGACTTATAGGCCAAGGAGGGGACACTGTGCTGAGGAACACAGGCCTGTATGGTGTCCAGGGTCAGCATTTGTTCCAGGACCAGAAGACAGGCACTGAGCAGAGGTGGGCTTCGTGTGGCACTGTTGCAGGCTCAGGGAGTTGAACTGTGAGGACAGTAAATGCTGAGACCAGTTTGTGCAGGGACCTTGAGGTCCAGTGTGCTGGAATGCTGTCCCTCCCTCCCCGCCCCTTTGGTTCTCATTTAGGGGGCTGTTTCTGGATGTTTTCTCTCCAGCAGATTTTCATGTGTCTGATTGACAAAACCAGAGAATGAATTTATAATAAATACTATGTGTTTGGTTGACAAAAAAACTAAAAATGAGAGGTTAGTCCATAGCTAGAGGCTAGTGAATGCAAGTTTGGGGTCCTTTGGCAAGCAGGCAATGTAAGCATTTCTATGACGGTTGACCTGGAGAGGAGTGTGGTGAAAGCCAGAAGGGATCTGAAGCCACATCTGCATGGTATTTAGGCGTGATCTATGCTGATTTCTGAGCTTCAGAATGGACAATGTGGGCATGTCACAGAGGGACTCAGCCACAGCAAGTGGGTATGTGCGTGGAAGGGGCCAGGGGATGAGAATACAGGTTACTAGAACCTAGGGACCCTCCAAGATAAATCTTCTGACTCTGTAAGGAGAGGCTCCAAGGAGATAGTTCCTTACTGAGAGTCTTGCCCTTATGGAAGTCTGCCATGCCTGAAATCTGGCCCCTTGCTTTTCTTCACATCCATGTCTTTTTTTTTTTTTTTTTTGGTAGTGGGGGTGTGGTGGTGGTGGTACTAGGGATTGAACTCAGGGGCACTCGTGCACTGAACCACACCCCCAGCCCTATTTTGCATTTTACTTAGAGACAGGGTCTGAGTTACTTAGCACTTCACTTTTGCTGAAGCTGGCTTTGAACTTGTAATCCTCCTGCCTCAGCCTCCTGAACCACTGGGATTACAGGCATGTGCCACTGTGCCAGTTAATAGCCCTGTCTTCTGGTGTGAATAGGAGCTCTTTCTCCTCCTATCTGGCTATGGCTTCATCTCTGTGGGTATCTGCTGCATCTGTCCTTTGACTCAGCCAGTCATCCCCTACACCTACCACCCACCCCTGTGCACCCACCCCTTTCAGGTGACCTACCCAATCTGCCTGTACCTCTATTGATCATTCATCAATCCATTCATCTCTCTATCAACCCATCCACCCATCCACATCCATCATGCATCCTTCCACCCACATATCCATCCATCCATCCATCCTTCTCTCCATCAAGCCACCCAGATCATCTGTCTGTTCATCATCCATCTCTCCATCAACCCTCTTTCTTAGTCAGTCCATCCATCTGGCATCCATCCGTACATATATGTATTTCTCTTTAGCCCAGCCATCTATCCTCTCTCTACCTCCACCCACCCGTCCATTTTATACATTCATTCATTTTTTTTCTGTCCATGCAGTATAGATCCACACACACACACAGGTAGTTGAGCACCATATTCTCTTGCTGTTAGGTGCCAGGTGCTGTGCTAGGCACTGGGACCACACAGAGAATAAGATGTGGTCTTTTCCTTCAAGGAACTCACAATTATTGGAGAGACAGGTCACAAGACATGGTAGGTTCCCTCTGATCTCATTTCTGGTCACTCTCTGGCTCCCTTTGCTCCAGCTGCATGGTGTTCCACACTGTCCCTCCTACCCTAGGCTGGTGGTCAATACCTGGGCTCCACCCTGATAGCCCAGGCTTGGAGGCCCTCACCCCCACGTCCCTGAGCCTTTGCTTGGCTGTCCTTACAGGAGAGGCCTTCTTGAGATGCCCTGGAACCACGCTGTCTCTGCCTACTTGATGTGCTTTCTTTGCTCTTGAGCACTTGCCAACCTTTGATGTGTTATGTATTTGTGATTTATTACATCTATTACAGAATAGCTTATTAACTCCACAAGGGCAGAAACTTTGCTCTGTTCTCTGCTGTGTTCTTAGAACTAAAACAAACAGGGCCTGGTGTATAGTAGGAGCTCAATAAATAGTTGGTGGAGTTAAAAATGAGTCTTGAGAATGGACGAGGGAGGGGGCCCCTGAGGGTCAGATGCGAGGCAGTCGGGGTGCCGCCCCGGGGTCTTTGGAGACCTCAAGTGTGGAACCAGAAGCGTGAGGAACCTGCCGGAGGAGCCAGCCTGGAGTCCACCTGAGGTCTGGTTGGCAATGTGGGCCAGACTTTCAGGAGACCAGCAAGGCCGGGGGGGCAGCTGGCAAACCTGACCACTTCCACAGTGGCCTCGAGGGACTTAGAGATCAAAGGACAGATGGGGATAAACTTCCATGGGATGCAGTGAGGGCAGGGAAGGGGGACCCAGCTTCCCCCCCTGAATCTTTTCCCACATTTCAGAGGCAGGTCTGCAGCAAGGGACACCCTAGGGCTGCACATCAGGCCTATGGAGGAGAGTTCAGTGCTGTTTCCAGGCTGGTGCGCGCGGTGGACAGCACAGCTCTGCATGGGCGTGCGGGTCGCATACACGCAGATGTGACTGGCACCTGCTGAAATCCACTCATGCTCGTGCCAGAGCACAGTGCTGCACACTCTGCTGGTCACAGACACAGCGTGAGCACAGCGTACACATGACTGGTCTCACACGCACCCTCAGGCTTTCTCCTGTGCTCACTGACTGGATGGCCCTGGCCTTGTCTGGTCTCCTGTGGTCAGCTGTGTGCTGTTCAGGAGAGAGAAGCCATGGCTGCTACCCACTTGGGCCCTGGCTGCCAGAGGCCAGAATTCCCTGCCTGGTCCCCTTAGCCTTCCTGCCTCAGACCTCTGGACCCAGGACCCCAGCAGTTGGGGTCCCCACTTCCATCTGGGTACAGCCAGGCCCAGGGTGTGTGTGGACAGACTGTGAGCAGCTTAGTCGAGAGCAGTTCAGCCAGTTGGAGGTCATGGCCGTTCCTCAGCTCCTGATACTCCCTCCAGAAACCCGGGAGGACCGGACGAAGCGGCTTTTCCGCCACTACACGGTGGGCTCCTATGACAGCCTCACTTCACACAGGTACTGGCAGGTGGGACAGGGTATGGACACACAGGGACACTGGTGGGGCCTGGCAGGTGTCGGGGGGGACGTGTGGTGAGAGGGAGGGCCAGGGTGTGTGGAGATTGGAGGAAGGTGAGGACCAGGTGCCTGGCCACCTCTGCATTCTGCAGTTCAGGTCAGCCTCGGGCAATCCTGGGATGATCTGCACTGTGGGACCCTGTGGGACCCTGTGGGGTCTGCCTGGCTGCCATGCTCCCCAGCTGCCAGGCTAGCCTTACCCCCGCCCCCTGCTTTCCTCCGTCAGTGACTACGTCATTGATGACAAGGTGGCTGTCCTACAGAAACGGGAACACGAGGGCTTTGGCTTCGTGCTCCGGGGGGCCAAAGGTAAGGGTGTGAGTGCTGGGTATTCTCCGTATCCTGCTGCCCGCTGCCCACTGTCTCCCATGGCTCCTCCTGCCTCTGCCTGGGCTCTGGCTGTGTAGTGTGGGGCTCCGTGGGACAGGGCAGAGCCACCTCCTCCACTGCTTTCCACTCTGCCAGGAGCCTAGCAGAGTGGGGACCTTTCTGGTCGGGGAATGGGGGTCTGTGCTGGATTCCTGGGCTGGGTGGCCCTGCCTGCTGCCCTCCCTGCTGCCCTCCCCGTCCCAGGTCATTCTGCCACAGTTGTCACATGTTCCATGAGCTGAGCTGCGTGGAGGCTGCTGTGTGCTGGCCGCCCCCACCGAGCCGCACTGGTGAGGCACCTTTCCTGCTCCCCCTGCAGCAGAGACCCCCATCGAGGAGTTCACACCCACGCCGGCCTTCCCTGCGCTCCAGTACCTGGAGTCGGTGGATGTGGAGGGTGTGGCCTGGAGGGCGGGACTGCGCACGGGAGACTTCCTCATCGAGGTGAGCCCCAGCCTGGGCCGGCACAGCCTGCTGGGGTCCTGGCCCCACCGCTGGGGGCGGGGGGACATGCTTGGCGCCTACCCAGCAGCCCCTCTGTCCTAGGTGAACGGGGTGAATGTGGTGAAGGTTGGACACAAGCAGGTGGTGGCCCTGATCCGCCAGGGTGGCAACCGCCTGGTGATGAAGGTCGTGTCTGTGACCAGGAAGCCAGAGGAGGACGGGGCTCGGCGCAGAGGTGAGGGCTGAGGTTCGTGGGCTTTGCCTGGACTCTCCCCTGGGTTCTGACCCGAGCCCTCTACCTCAGGCCCACCTTCCTCTCCCCAGCCTGGCTCTGGGCTACTGAACCTGGGTGAACCTTGATAGATGGAGCTCATTCAATGCTCGTTTGTAGCCTAGGTTGCTTTCCAGGCTGGGTGTGAGCACCCTGGCCCTCCACCTGACCTCTGACCTCTGACCCCAGATTGCCCCCTCAGATCCCTTCCCCCCCTTTCCTGGAATCCCCAGCTCCTGGCATGGCAGATCCCTCCTTCCCCGACTCTGCCAGCAGCTGCCTGGAGGCCGGGGTTGCTATGGCAACTGTGAGGTTGACGCTGCTGCTTATTGTCGGAGGGAAGGGGGAGGCGGCACCTGAGGGAAGAGGAAAAGCGTCTTCTCCCGGCGCCGCCGACACTGCACAGCCGGGCCCAGGAGGCCTTGCCACCCGGCCCAGCCCAGGCCTTTGGCTTGGCTGGTCACACCCTGGTTCTCCAAGGGCAGTGGCCACCAGGCCCCTGGGGGAGCTCTGGAGCAGCAGGAGCCAGCCTGGCAGGAGACCCTCCCAACCCCCATCCCATGGCGCCAGTGCCCCCTCACTGGGTCCTCAGAGCCTGCAGGGTGGGTACTCAGACGAGAGCCAGCTGGCACCCTGACCCCCACTGGTACCGTTAACTGCCTTCTGAGGCCTGGGCTCTGGGGATCCCGAGGGCCCCAGAGGCCCCCAGCACCCCAGCCCCTGCACTCCCTGAGCTCCCCACGCCATGAAGAAGTTTGCATCCAGCCGCAGCCTGAACAAGATCCTGGCTCAGTGCGACTCATCCTCACGGGAGTATGAGGAGATCCAGGCGGTAGAGCGCAAGTGGCACCTACACCTGGCCACGCCGCGCCGCCTGCTGCTGGACAGGAGGTCCAAGGCCTCCCTCTTCTTTGCAGCCCCACCCCCCCCAAAGAGGGCTCCCAGCACCACACTGACCCTGCGCTCCAAGTCCATGACTGCCGAACTCGAGGAACTCGGTGAGCACTGCGGTGGCCATTGGCTGAGGTCACAAGGCCCAGAGGGGTGGGCCGAGGCTGTGTGGGAGGCTAGGGATGCTGAGCTGGGGCTGAGGTCAGGCAGGGACAGTAGGAAGGACCGATGATGGGTGTGGGAGCCGACAGAGTGCTGGAGGGGTGGGTGCCTGTGGGGCCAGGGCATGGCATGTGGAAGGGCTGGGCAGTGGGGCTGAAGACAGACATTGGGATAAATTGGACAGATGGCAGGGGGCACGGTCTGACCCTGCAGCGTGTTCGCACATGTATGCATGTATATATGCATATGCTGCTCCTGACTTTCCACGTCTCACTCTGACTTTGCATCTGCATTTTTTCCAAGTGAGGAAGGAGGAGTGGTTGGGGAACCTGGGTGTGTTTCTGGCTCTGCCAGGTCCTGGCTGGGTCGCCTCTGTGTGTGTGTGTTACTGTTGCACCTGTATGCATGGTGGTCAAGTGAGCCTCTAACCTCCAAGGCCTCTGTGAGCACCTCTGGCAGGTGGTAGGATGGGGCTTCATGGACTGGGGGGTGAACAAGAGTGTGTTGGGCTTGGGTGGGCAAATTGCAGGCACAACCCCAGATCACCCAGCTCGGTCTGGGTGTGTACTCATTAATAGCCTTGTTGTGAGCATGTTACCATAGACATGATCACGTCCACACATATGTAACCTTGAAAAGCTCTGTTGTGGGCAGGTCTCCCCTGCATGACCATGTCTTGCGTGTGCAACCTTATTGTGGTCATGTGCTGATGCAAAATGCTGTTGAGAGCCCTGTTGTGGTACCTCCCAGCAACAGCAGCCCCGCCATGAGCACATTCAACACATGTGGCGGTTGATGTGCTCTTCCCTTCCAGTTGGAGCCTAGTCCCTATCCTAGGCTCTACTCTGGCTAGGGTCATAGAAGAAATCCTTCCTCTGTCCCCCAGAGATATCCCTGTACCAGCTCATGGACTGGGCCCTGAGCCTGTCCTGGACACAAGCTTGGCTGTCCTATTCCAACAGGCACTCTTGACTGTGGTGTAGTTCAGTGTGGGAAGCAACTACCCAGATAGACTGGGCTGACCTGGTCGGGATTTGCTTTGCCTAATACTCTGGATAAAATAAAACGAACACACACATATACAGACAACTCAAAAAAAAAAAAAGAAGAAGAAAAAAAAAGAAGAAAGAAAAGGAATCCCCAGGTCTCAAAAATGAAGAGAGAAATCAAAGCCAGTGGAGTCGGGGAAGCTGGTCCTCCTACAGTCTATGATTGGGAATTCTGAAGCCCCCATACAAACTCAGATCATGAATGGGCTCCCTAAGGAAAGAGCTCCAGTAGGATAGGGCCCTGGGCAGTAGTGCATTTGTTTTGACCCCAGGATCCTTTTGTAAGGCTTTGTAGCCAAGAGAGCAAGCTTGAGCCAGAGTGATGAGTGGCCCCCAAGCCAGTCCATTCCCTGTGAACACAAGCTTGGAAATCGAAATCTTCAGCTCTCCTGGAAGACACAGCTGGCTGTGGGTCTGTGAGAAGTGGGAAAGCTGGAACTACGCACAGGAGCTAGAATTAGCACCAGAAGAACTCGAAATCAGAGGAGTATGAAAGAGAATAAAGTAAGATAACAGAATTGAAAGAACTAAGGAAAGATAAGAAGACAGAACAACAACACAAAAGAATAAGCACATTTAACAAACATCCATGAAGACTTGTTATGGAGACAAAAAAATATAGTGCCAGATTAAAAAAAAAGTCTGTGGCTGGGATAAACAGTATACTAGAGCCAGCTGAAAAAAGAAACTGAAGGTAAGTGTGAGGAGATCATTTAGGGGATGGAGGCAGAAAGCAGCTAGGAGGAGGAGCCCAGCACCTATCTGTTGGGAGTCCTAGAGGGAAAGCACAAAAACAGAGGCAATATTCAAACAATAAATAGCTGAGAATTTCCCCAAAGTGAACAAAGATGTGAGACTCCAGTTGGAAGAAGTTCCAATCAGGGAAATAGAAATAAATCTATGTCTAGGTTGATCACAGTAAAACTTCAGAATACCATAGACAAACAGAAAAGTCTTAAAAATCACCAGACAGAGAGAGACAGACAGGAGAGGAGGGAGTCGTGGCTGAATGACAGGCTCTGGGTAGCAGCAGTTGGAGGCACAAGTCCTTGGAGGTACACACTTCTGGGCTCAGGGTCCTGTGGGTCTGTGGTCAGTCACAGAGCTGACCTGACCCACATGGGTCCACCAGCCAGCACAAGGAGGCAGTTGGGTCTGGCTGGACAGCAGGTAGAATGGGTGAGTGCAGCCACTTGTCAGAGGCTGCGTGTTTGGTCTGCACAGATTGATTTGGGCAACCTGAGCACTGTGACCCAGGGAACCAAGGACTCTGCACTGTGAATATGGAATCACTCCTCCGTCTGGCACGGGCTTCTCTGCTGAGTCCACTTGTCCTGCCTTTGTTAAAACTCCTGAGCTGCTCTGCCTACAGAAACAGTGAGTGGAAGAGGCAGGTCTTCCCCTCTGTTCTAGAAGCCACAGGGAAAGGTTTGGGTTTGCTCTGCAGACTTTGGTGGTCCCGAGGAGCTCGCTCATGGCATCCGGCTTTCCTGATCGGAGTCTAGGGGAAGACAAGAGGGCAGCTTAGCCCAGAGCCTCTGCCTACATTTTTTAGCCTAGGATCACAGTTTCTTTTGAATCTGGACCCAGATTCTTCCTGGTTCTGTGTTCTGAGAAGGGCTGGAAAGCCAGTGGCTTGGGGAGCCACCTTGCGTCCAGAGGACAGCTGTTCTAGGAGCAGCCACTTGTGACCAGTCCCCTCTGGAAATCCACGGTTCGTGGAAGCAGGCCAGCAGTCCAGGTCCCCAGGTGCTTGAGATGCCATTCCCAATCCAGAACTTGTGCTTTTAAGAGGTGGACCTGAGAGGTGAGGGGTTGCCAGCGGTCATAACCCACATGTCCTGCCCTCACACGGCCGGGAGCCAGCAGCCCTCTGACTCTGGGATCCTTCACCACGACCTGAACACCTGAAGGGGCTGCAGCTCATGCTGAAGTGGCTCCTGCCAGGTGGAGCATGAGGCCAGGTCCTGCCGGAGGACGAGGAGGAGGAAGAGGAGGAGGAGGAGAAGGGGGGAGAGGGGCTCCTGGGAGTGGAAGCTGGTCCCCCAGGAAACGCAGGTTGCAGTAGTGGGCAGATGTGGGGGTGACAGGAAGAGCAAGAGGTCGCAGAGGAGGAAGCACAGAGCACTCCCAATTCCTTTCCTTACTGGGGTTTCCTCACCCGAGACTCTGCTTGGCTTGTCCTGATGTGAGTGGGGCCAGAACTCAGTGGAGACCCCAGCTCTGGGGGAGCTGGCAGGTCCCAGCTAACTTCTGTTCATTCATGGCTTTGTTAGGAGAAATTAGTTCCCCGTGATCACTAAGTTCCTTTTTCTTTGTGGTGAGAGGTTGGGGTAGGTTCCCTGCCCAGTGTCCCTGTCACTGGCCTGTCTGGAAGAGGTTTCCCTGCTGAATACGCTTGTCCTGCCTTTTGTTAAAAACTCCTTTGGGGGCTGAGGGTGCAGCTCAGTGGTAGAGCACTTGCCTAGCATGGCAAGGCCCTGGGTTCCATCACCAATCACACCCCCCCAAGCCCCCGCACACTCAAGCCCTACTTTGCAAAGAATGCTCAAGGGTAACTATCAATTTCAGTGGACTCTGAAATTAAATTTTTGGGGGGATTTTGCCTTTTTCCTAAACAGACAGTTGACTGGACCGAGTATGGTTTAGTTTTGTACATCATTGTGTATGGTCATGTCTGTACATACACATGCACATGCACATGGACTCATGGGTATGCATGTGTGTGCATGTGTGAATGGACTTGTGGGTGTGTACGTGTGCTCATGTGTGCATATGTGAGTGGACTTGTGGGAGTGTGTGTGCATGGTGTGCATGTGTGACTGGACTTGGTGTGTGTATATGCATGTGTGTGCATATGTTCCTGCTTGTGCTGGTTTTCTCCTTCTTGTTTTAGGCCACATATTAACCAACTGGCATTTGAGCAGATTTGTGCTCATGATAAGGAGGAGGACGCCAGGGGTGGATCTGTGAGGGCCTGGTTTGGGGGAGGTGGGGTTTGTAGATATGGGGACAAGGAATTGAATGTGGAGAATGGGCCCGCGTGCCATGGGATAAAACCTGCCTCTTATTCCCTTTGCTCTGTTTCTTGATTCCAAGCCTCCATTCGGAGAAGAAAAGGGGGTAAGTCATCTGCTTGTGTCCCCAGGCCCAGCCTTACCTCACGCCTGTGGGGAGCACTGGTGTATGAGACTCCAGTCCAAGTCTGGGTGGTCTGGCGTCCTGGGCACACCCAGGATTCTCCCGGGGGATCTGGTAGGGGCATGGAGAAGGGCTAGGAAGGATGAATGGGGAGTCCCTAGAGTTGTGACCCTCTGGGATATGCTAGGGAGGCACAGCCATGGACCCTAGGACTCAGGGGAGCTGGGGAAGGTGGGAGCTGTGGAGGCAGCCTGGTGGAGAGGAGCTAAGGTAGTCCCTGGTGGAGGCCACTGCATGTGCCACGGCCCAGAGCTGGAGAGAAGAAGGGCTCTGGGGGATCCCGTCTGGAGTCGGAGAAGCTGGGTGCCTGGGCGGTGTTAGGATGGGGGTGGGGGTGTTTGCCTCTAGCTGTGTTGCATCTTTTTGCAATCCTCTAGGGGCTGCCTCTTCCTGGGTTGTGGGCCCTGCTCCTGTGCTGGTTGTTTGCAGGGCTGACTCAGCTGACAGTCCCTTTAGAGCAGGGATCTGGGGTCCCCTGCCAGGCTGTTGACTTTGCTACCCCCTCTCATGCCCCATCCTAGTATCCTTTCAAGCTTGTATGTCCAGCCTGGCTGCAAGGGACAATATCCACGTGGCAACAGAGTCACTTGGGCCTGGGTACTGAGGACCAGTGTCTGATGAGCTCTTGGGCCTGGCTTCTACCGCTGCCTCCACTTCTTACACAGGGGGAAGCCAGGCCCAGACGGAAGCCTAGTGGCCCTGTGGCCCCGTGCATGGTATCTATAAACATCCTCTGAGTACCTAGCATCCCTCCATCCGCTCTGTATCCACTGGCCCCCAGCCCACTCCTCTCTCAGGACCTGCAGCCCTGTGCTTCCCCTGCCCCCAAGTCTCCTGGATCTGTTGTCCTTTCAGGTATTAAAAATAGATGACAAAGCCTCTCCTCCAGGACTCCTTTCTGTGCCTTTGGGGCAGACAGACAAAGCTACTTCTGGGATATTCTGGTTCTGCCATCCAGTGATAGAGTTGGGCTTCCAGGGTGCTGTAGCCTGTGTACCTCTCCCAGCTGTGGAGGAGCTGGCAGGAGAGTTGTCACACTACTTGAGCCCCAGCGTGTCCTGCCCCACACCCAGATGACCCATGTAGGTGGTTGGTGGGAGTGCCTGCACCTGGTTCCTAGTGGGCTTCATTTCCTTTTTTAAGTATCAAGAATAATTTATTCAAGAGTGTGTTTTCTAATTTGGTTGGGAATTTATCCCAACCTCATCATCTTTTTGTCATTTGCAAAATTTGGGGGGATTGAACCAGAGATTGAACTCAGAGATACTCAACCACTGAGCCACATCCCCAGCCCTATTTTGTATTTTATTTAGAGACAGGGCCTCAATGAGTTGCTTAGGGCCATACCATTGCTAAGGCTGGCATTGAACTCACGATCCTCCTGTCTCAGCCTCCCAAGACACTGGGATTACAGGCCTACACCATCGCGCCCAGCCCATTTGCAGAATTCTTGATTTCTTTCCTTTTGAAAGTAATTCTCACTTGGCCTCAGCACCTCACCTCATGAGCCATAATAGTTGCTTTGCTATACTTTGTGTGCACACTGCTTTGGGTCCCTGGGACTAGGTTCTCCCACAGCCTAAGTGGCAGCACATCTTGCTAGGAGGAAGGGCTTTCCACCCTGTTTACTTCTGTGGTTTCTAGATGGTGCAGCAGTTGACTGCCCTCTTATTGGGCCTGTGATCTGGGAGAGTCTCTCTCTGTTTCGGTTTGCCCCTGGTAGGGTGAGGGTGATAATGGCATCGTCTATATGCTGGCTGTGGGAGATAAGAACCTGCACATGCTGGATATCACCAAGGACTTGTTAACACAGGAAGGCGATGGTGATTTCACCTTTGAAAGGAAATTCTTCAGTCCACTTCAAAAATAAATGGGAAGATCCCTCATCTAGTCATCCCTGGTCCGGGAGCCACTCTGGGGGTTTGTGTTGGGAGGAGCTGGTGAAGGCCTGCACACAGCTGGGCTCAGGAGACAAGGTGCCTTTTGCCTCTGATGGGCACTGAGTACCTGCACTGGGCGAGTGCAGTCATGGGTCCCTCTGCAGGGATTCTCCCTGAGCCAGCTGCATGGTGCCTGGCTGTGCTTGGGCCTGTGGTACCTGGTGAGGGCCCCGACTCTGGGCAGTCAGTGTGCAGCATAGGTCTGGCCTGGGGGCGGTGGGTACCGGACACTTCAAGAAGCTGCCAAGGGGTGGCCGGTGGAGCCAGCAGGCGCGACTTGAAGCCACAGCTTGGGGCTGGAAGGAGCAGGAGGTGTTCAGGATGAGCATGGGAACTCTTCGTCAGGGGCATGTGAGAGTGGAAGCAGGCCAGGGCCAGTGCCCCCCACCCCAGGGTAGGCCTAGGCCTTGAGAGATGAATAGGGCCTGGGGCTAGGAAGCCTGAGGGCATGGGTAGGGTCCTGGGAGGCCACCAGAGGAGAGGGCCTGTGCAGCTGCCAGGTAGACTCAAGGGCTCCCCCAGCCCCTCTGTACCTGAGGCTGGCCCTGAGCAAACTCTGAGATACAGCTGAGTGGCCACCTCCCCATAGCTCTGTGCCCTCAGTCATGTTAGTTGGACATTTCCAAATTCTTTTAAAAACACTTCACTTTAATAAGGACGGCAAACAAAGATTTCCTTCTATTAACAGACTCGGAGAGAGGCCGCCCGGTACATCTGCTCCATGTGGGTCTCCCCTGCTTCTCTGGTGCCCACTGCTTTCTGAGGGGCTGGGGAAGCCCCTTCAATGAGGAGGGTCCTTTACAGCCATCCTGCTCTCCTCTTTGTTTCTTAGCACCCACCGTGGCTGGCACTGCTTCTCTTTGGCGTAAAGGAGGAAGACTCTTTGACCTCTTCATGTGTACTGAACCGTTTTTAGATCCCCAGCCTGAGCCTTGTGGTCAGGCTGTATCCCCCACATGTGCGTTCATTGATGATTTTATCACCTGTTTGAGCCTCCTGTGGACACATGCTTTACATCAGAGTCTGTCACAGGGCTGTGGTCCCACTAGGAGCAGCTGGCCTTGGCTGAGGCCATGGGCCAAGATCAGGCCCAGGACAGAGGGGAGGCAGGGAGTAGGGGCTCTAAATGGTTCTACCCCCCACCCGTGTTTCTTCCCTTGTTGCCAGAGCGGCGACTCCTGGAGTGTCCAGTGTGGCTACTCCCCAGGGGCAGGTGGAATCTTGATGATAGGCTGGGGGGCTGGGTTTGGGAGCATGAGGGGCTGGTATGGGATACAAGATGTAGTCCAGGCTGTGAGCCTTGGGCAGTGAGAGGCCTGAAGATGGTTGGGTCCCAGTGGCCGTGGTCAGCACTAGGGGTCAGGTGGGCCTGGGGGACCAGAGGCAGGTTGGGGGCTGAGGTGGCCTCTCTTCCACTGCAGAGAAGCTGGATGAGATCCTGGCAGCTGCGGCAGAGCCGGCACTGAGGCCAGACATTGCAGACGCCGACTCCAGAGCCGCCACGGTCAAGCAACGGCCCACCAGCCGGAGGATCACCCCTGCTGAGATCAGTGTAAGCCGCCGCCACCGCCGGGTGGGATACAGGCTCAGAGGGCCATGCTCCCTCTTTCTTGGGTCTCCTCTCTGGAGTGGGAGAAACACCTCAGAGCTTTTTGGAGACTCTTGGGACCACGTCAGGCCCCAGGATGGCCAGTTTATTACCACTGGGTCTCCTGTGGCTGAGCCTGCCTCCCTCCCAGCCCAGGCAGCTTCTGTACCACTCTAGGACCATCAGACCCCGGTCCTGGTGGAGGCTGCCACAGAGCATGTCCTCTCCCTGACCCTTCCTGGCCTCCCTGGCACCTTCTGGACTCTTCCCCTCCTCCAGACCGTGCCTGGGACCTAGACCCACCATCGACACTGCCACTGTCTGCACTGCCCACACAACCTGCTACCTGCGCATCGGGCCAGATTTGATTTCCGGCCCAGGCCATGGGTACCAGTGTTTTGGAGGGTGCATGGGGTGTCTCCAGTCTCTGGCTTAGGTGGAGGAGGGGTGGGGCTGAATGGAGCACTGGGGGCCTTCATGCCCTGGAACCTCCATGTTCCCCCCTCCCCGACCCCCACAGTCATTGTTTGAGCGCCAGGGCCTCCCAGGCCCAGAGAAGCTGCCGGGCTCTCTGCGGAAGGGGATTCCACGGACCAAGTCTGTAGGTATGGCTGGGCTGAGGGACTGCATGAGGCTGGGAGGGATGGGGCTAGGCTGGGTGGATTCAGGGTTGGAGGATGCTGTCTCTTCCCACCCGTGGCTGGGATTTTCAGTTCCGAGTCCCACCTCTTCCTGCCCAGACCAGGGGTCCCATTTTTGGACATAAGTATGTCTGTCCTTCCGTGAGTCCAGGGACAGGCAGCTGGAAGAGACTCTTGAGATTTCTTTCCTGGTCTGGTGCCCACTGGATTCACCACTTCTGTCCACTGGGCAGCATCCCTCAACCCCTGGGTACTGCTGGTCTGTCTCATGTGCACTGGGTGCCCCCAACACCTGTCCACTGCCCTGTCCACTGGGTGTTCCCCTGCATCACTCTGCCTCCCACTAGCACCAGTGTCCTTGTCCCCAAATCAGCTACCTCCTATCCTGGCTGCTCCTCTGTAGCAAGATCCAAGCAAAGGTCCAGCTTGCCGTAAAACAGTCTCTCCTAGGACCTGCTGCACACCCACCGTGCGATGCGCACGCTCCTCCACCTCACAGCCACTTTTCCTGGAAAGGCCTCCTGTATTGCCCTAAGCCTGTGTCTGATGAGCTTTCTCCACATCTAAAGGGAAACTACTCCTCCCAGGGATCTCCCAGGGCACATACCACCAGGCATCTTCTTACCACTCCACCAGGTTTCTTGGATCCCTCCGCAGTGAAGCTTCTCCCAGGGTTTGGGCACAGTGCTTCCTGGCTCTCCCTCCTCCAGCCTGCACCATTCAGTCCCCAGGCCCTAACCCACTGACTGAGGGACCTGCTCAAGGCCCAGCCCTCCGCATCTTTTCCTTCTACCTCTTGTCCCCTGGTGGCCTCATTACTGCTCCTCCTTCACCGCACCCCATATGTGGCCACCTCCTTGACCCCAGGCAGGACTGTATCTCCACAGGCATTCAGTCTCCCTCAGCTGCCTACCTGTGCATCTGCCACCCACAGAGCTGCCCACTGTCCATCCACCTACCTGTGGAGCGCCACCAAACCCCAAAGCTTCCCTGCCCAGCACAGGGCAGACACAGCATTTATGCATGTGTCTATCTCATGCTCTTGGTGACCATATTGGGGAACGTCATTTATTTTACTGAAGCAAAGGGTTCAGTAGATTGAATGGCTGAAGGACACACAAGTGTCCTGCCCATTGCCTGCTATCCATCCTCAAGCCAATCAGCTGCCCAAACTCCAGTCCCTCACCTTCCCCCAGGAGCCCTGCCTACTCTAGGTTGAGCCTGGGCTGGATCTCAGGCTCAGGTGGAGAGGATGGGTCCTTCAGTTCCATGTGGGGTATCAAGGTACACATACATATGGAGCTAACTGGGGAGCTCCAGCCACCCTGGGGTGCCACAGAAGGTTGGTGGCAGTTTTGCGCTTAGAATGCAGGGTAAGTGGAAGTTTCCAGGGGACAATGGGGAAAATTGCTGACAGATGCCAATATGTAGAAACATGGGTATATGGAAAGGTCCTTCATGAATTGCTGAGAATCATTTCTGTAGATGGGAGAGTCGTGGAAGAAGGTTATTGAAACTGCAGCTACTTTGGAGCCAAGAGGTGCTTCTTTTTGCCCTCACTGGCCTAAGCCCTGGGGGTTCTCTATGGTTTCTTTCTTATCCTCTGCCTCACCTAATAATTTGGATGGGCTGCCTCCTCACATGTCTCAAGCTTTGCCCAGTACAGGCCCTATTCTTGCACCTGGACCACAGCTTTGTTCTCATGACCTCCAGCCCCCTCTCTGCCCTGACATCCATCCCTCTGGCAAAGGAGACTTTCTGCAGTAGAGTTATATTACTGTACATCCTTTAGCTTAACCCTTCGTGGACTTCTGATTGTCCCAGGGCCCTGGGCACCAGCACTGGCCCCCTCCATTTCCACCTCCCTCAGATCTGGGTCTTAACAGTCTTGCTACTGTCCTCCTGCTCTCACTCTGCCTGGTCAGCCATCCAGTTGCAGGACTGACCACTGCAGGTCCAGCCCTGTGCATCGCTCTGTAGGCCTTGAGCCTCCTGGCAGGCCTGCCACCTCCTCTCACTGGTGCCCACTAGACTCTCTGAACAAGTGATCTGACAGGTGCTCATTTTGGTCCCTTGCTTTTAGTTGCCAATTTGATCATTGGACTGGATGGTCAGGCTCCCCCAGACTCCTCCTTGTGTCCTGTGTGGCCCTGGGCTCATGGTGCAACCCTTAGAGCCCAGGGCCCTCATCTGCTAACATGGAGAACATCTGGTGCCTCCCCAAGGACGACTTGGGCTCACCAGTAGGCTGTTCCTGCTTGAGCTCTAAGTGGGTACACAGGGGCTTCCCAGCAGCGGCCGACAATGGTAGATCAGACCCTGCATCTTAGGCTAGGAAATGCTCTTGCTATGATTGGGGCAGAGAGGATCTACTTTGCCCAGATGGCATCAGAACAGACTCCCATTCTGTGCGAAGGCAAGTGACTTTTCTTCACCTAACGCAGAACTTGGCATGCCATTAGCATTAAGTCTCCCTTTTTCATCCTCACATGTCACTGCCGCCTCTACGCCCTCGAGGTGCAACTGTTCCTCCTGGGGAGCTTCATCTAGTGCAGTCTTGGGGGTGTTCATCCTGTGTGCATGTGTCGTGCAGGAATGCAGCTGGGAGATCCAGACCAACTGGACACAGACTCTTTGTCCATCAGTGCGAGGGAAGACAGACCTAAAAGTGATGATACTTGGCCACCTTCCCAGGGTGCTGCTACCTGTCCGGCCCAACACTGTAAACATTAAATGGCCCTGTAATGGGCAGAAAATCCTTCTGAAATGAGACTGAATTCCTAGAGGTGACTGGTAGAGCTGGAACTCAAGCCTAGCCTGCAGCAGAAGCCCACCTACCCTTGTTATACCTGACCTGACAGAGCCATTACACCTGCTGGTCAGAGGCCTTGCTGATGACATTGCACTGCAGTGACTGAGGGAGGATTTAGTCAGAGCAGGCATCCTATCCTTTAGTGACTTCTTACCCTGATGTGTCTAACACAGAGCATACCAGATGTGGTGTGCTGGTGTGGAGCTGCCTACCCCTCAGGCTGGGCCACCCAGCATGTGCAGCCTCACTGGACATACCTGTGGGTGTCCACATTATGTCCCAGAGTTAGGAGGTTGTCAGGTCTTAGTTAGAATCCTCATGGCATCTACAGGTAGGAGGAGGGGGTTCATTTTAAGGTTACATAAGCCCATGAGAAAACAGGTTCAGAGGGGCTGGCCTGGGATTACACAGCCAATAGGGGCTAAAATGGAAACATGCCGAGTGCTTGGCCTACACATACCCATCCTCCTTCCACCAACCCTTACTGAAGTCCAGCCACTGTGGTTATGTCAGCTGCCTCCTAGCAGCCCCTCAGGCCCATCCATGCCCTGCCATCCTTCTGCTGGATGTGTGGTGCTCTCTGCCACAGTCCTGTCCCTTATCTGCAGCAGTGCTGTGCCCCCACCTTTGGTGGCCCCCAGGGCCAGGCACAGGTCCAGCCTGTTCCATTTGGGGTGTTTCGGAGCCTACCTTCCTCAGTTTTGCATGGGAGCCCTACCCCTACAGGCCTCAAGTGTCCTCTTATGGTCTGGTTTTTACCTACAGGCATGGCAGATTTGGGGCCCAGGCAGGGAGGGCTTAGGTTCTGTCCCAGAGCCTTTTTCGTGGGGCTTTCCTTCACCTGTGGCTGAACTTGAAGCACTCTCCTGGGCCCTAGCCCTTCCTACCTGTGCAGGGCTGGGTATCCCAGGATGAGCCCAGACTGGCCTCTCACTCAGAGTCCTTGCTGTGGGCTTCCTGAATCATCCCTGATGCCCTGCTGACCCTGACCCGCGCTCCTGAGTGGGATGGACTCTGGGTTGGACCAGCCTCCATGGGAGGGGGCGCCGCAGTCCCCAGGGGTGTCTCTGAAGGCACAGCGCCCAGGGCAGTCTCACCAGACCCTTCCATCTGCAGGGGAGGATGAGAAGCTGGCGTCCCTACTGGAAGGGCGCTTCCCTAGGAGCACATCGATGCAGGACTCTGGGCGTGAGGGGCGCGGCATCCCGCCCCCGCCACAGACCGCGCCTCCGCCCCCGCCAGCACCCTACTACTTCGACTCGGGGCCGCCCCCTGCCTTCTCACCACCACCCCCGCCGGGCAGAGCCTATGACACGGTACGCTCCAGCTTCAAGCCAGGCCTGGAGGCACGCCTGGGGGCGGGGACAGCCGGCCTCTACGAGCCCGGCGCGCCCCTGGGCCCACTGCCCTATCCCGAGCGGCAGAAGCGCGCGCGCTCCATGATCATCCTGCAGGACTCGGCGCCGGAAGCAGGCGACATCCCCCGGCCCGGGCCCGCAGGCACACCGCCTGAGCGCCCGAAGCGCAGGCCTCGGCCACCCGGCCCCGACAGCCCCTACGCCAACCTGGGCGCCTTCAGCGCCAGCCTCTTCGCGCCGTCCAAGCCACAGCGCCGCAAGAGCCCGCTGGTGAAGCAGCTGCAGGTGGAGGATGCACAGGAGCGAGCGGCCCTGGCTGTGGGCAGTCCTGGCCCAGGCGGAGGCAGCTTCGCCAGGGAGCCGTCCCCGACGCACCGCGGCCCCCGGCAGGGCGGCCTCGACTATGGCTCGGGGGACAGCCTGGGACTGGCGTTTGGGGGCCCAGGCCCCGGTGCGGGCCCTGGCAAGGAGCGACGGCTTGAGGAACGGCGTCGCTCCACGGTGTTCCTGTCAGTGGGTGCCATCGAGGGCAGCCCCCCCAGTGCTGACTTGCCATCTTTGCAGCCCTCACGCTCCATAGATGAGCGCCTCCTGGGGACCGGCGCCACCACCACCGGCCGCGACCTGCTGCTCCCTTCCCCAGTCTCTGCTCTGAAGCCATTGGTCAGTGGTCCCAGCCTTGGGCCCTCGGGCTCCACCTTCATCCACCCACTCACTGGCAAACCCTTGGACCCTAGCTCACCCTTGGCCCTGGCTCTGGCTGCCCGAGAACGAGCTCTGGCCTCACAGGCACCCTCCCGGTCCCCCACGCCCCTGCACAGCCCTGATGCAGAACGCCCTGGACCCCTGTTTGTGGATGTGCAGGCCCGGGATTCAGAGCGAGGGCCCTTGGCCTCTCCAGCTTTTTCCCCGAGGAGCCCAGCCTGGATTCCTGTACCTGCCCGGAGGGAGGTAGAGAAGGCCCCTAGGGAGGAGCGTAAGTCACCCGAGGACAAGAAGTCCATGATCCTCAGCGTCTTGGATACTTCACTGCAGCGGCCAGCTGGCCTCATTGTTGTGCATGCCACCAGCAATGGGCAGGAGCCCAGCAGGTTGGGAGCTGAAGAGGAGCGCCCGGGCACCCCAGAGCTGGCCCCGGCTCCCATGCAGACTGCATCAGTGACAGAGCCCCTGCCTAGCCCCCGGGCCCAGCCCCCAGGCAGCACCCCAACAGACCCTGGACCAGGCCAGGGCAGCTCAGAAGAGGAGCCAGAGCTGGTGTTTGCTGTGAACCTGCCGCCTGCTCAGCTGTCCTCCAGTGATGAGGAGACCCGGGAGGAGTTGGCCCGCATTGGGCTGGTGCCACCCCCTGAAGAGTTTGCCAATGGAATCCTGCTGGCCACCCCACCCCCTGGCCCGGGCCCATTGCCCACCACGGTGCCCAGCCCGGCCTCAGGGAAGCCCAGCAGTGAGCCACCCCCTGCCCCTGAGTCTGCAGCCGACTCTGGCGTGGAGGAGGCTGACACTCGAAGTTCCAGTGACCCCCACCTGGAGACCACAAGCACCATCTCCACAGTGTCCAGCATGTCCACCCTGAGCTCAGAGAGCGGGGAACTCACCGACACCCACACCTCCTTCGCTGATGGACATACTTTTCTACTCGAGAAGCCACCAGTGCCTCCCAAGCCCAAGCTCAAGTCCCCGCTGGGGAAGGGGCCGGTGACCTTCAGGGACCCGCTGCTGAAGCAGTCCTCGGACAGCGAGCTTATGGCCCAGCAGCACCACGCCGCCTCTGCCGGGCTGGCCTCTGCCGCCGGGCCCGCCCGCCCTCGCTACCTCTTCCAGAGAAGGTCCAAGCTGTGGGGGGACCCCGTGGAGAGCCGGGGCCTCCCGGGGCCTGAAGACGACAAACCAACTGTGATCAGCGAGCTCAGCTCCCGCCTGCAACAGCTGAACAAAGACACGCGCTCCCTGGGGGAGGAGCCAGCTGGTGGCCTGGGCGGCCTGCTGGACCCCACCAAGAAGTCACCCATCGCAGCAGCTCGGTGAGCAGGGCCATATGGGGAGGGACCTGTCCCTGTCTCCTGTTCCTTCTGTCCACTCACAGGCTCCTCTGTTCCTCCTCTTTCTGTCCCATCCCACCTGTCCCACACCCCAGTCATCCATCTCTTGTCTAGTCTTGCTTTGTTCTCTGAGATAGAAGGCTCTTTAGGATTGCTGGTCTCCATGACCCTGTTGGTGCTGGCCATGGGGCTGGGTCCATGAGACCAAATGGGGCATGAGCATGTCCAGGGTTTGGCTTTGTGTCTGCCAGCTTATGTCTCCACTCCTGTCCTCATGGGTGGTGTGGCTGCCCCAGGAAACTGGTGCCATCTGTCCTGGACTGCCAACTGCTTTGCTTCTTTTTTTGAGGCCTGGAGCACACTGGCACCTTTTCTTTTGGGAACCAGCCACTAACTTCCTCTTTTCTGCCCAGAAACATTCATCTCATGGTACCCCCTTAGAGCCCCTTAAACACAGATTCCTGTGTGGGATTTTTAAAGTGCAGTAAGAAGATAGGTGGGGTCATACCATCTGCCCTCCCACCTTCTCCTTCCCTTTCTTGTTTCTCTGTCCTGCTCCCCAGCATGGAGCTACAGGGAGGGGCTGAACTGGGGGCTGGGTACCACTAAAGCTATGGCCACTCTGGTCAATCCCTGGGCTGGCCCTCTATGGGCCACATATGTGCTGGATCAACTGGCCAGCCTCTCGTCTGTCTTTCTCAAGCTGCTTTTGCTTCTGCCTCCAGGTCCCCTAACCCCAGGTTTGGGCAGGATGCTCCCTCCTGAACTCCTTTCTGCTCTGAAGACCACCTGAGTGGGCTCTTTGCTGCCAGGTGTCGGAGGCAGGAGTCCACAGAGTAGTGAGCCATGAACAGCTTAGGGACTGCAGGTTTTACTCCTCCATCTTACCGTCTTCCAGTTCAGTATCCAAAACTGGCTGGAAGAATGGAAACTTGGGGAAATGGGAACTTGGGAAGCTCATGCTGCCTCTCCTGAGTGGCCCAGGTTCCATGCTTGTCATCCTGAAGCTGGCTCTGGAGGCTTCTACTCTTTCAACCTCTTCTGATTCCCAGCCAAATCTGAGAGCCTGCTTCCAGCAGTGCAGTGTGTAGGGTATCCTGGGAGTGGATGCACAGGGTGTGGACCAGTCAAGATGAGTACCCTGTTTCCAGGCCTCTGTGCAGGACAGGAGGGGTCTCCTGACCCAGCCCTGTCCTCCTTCTCTGCTTCTGTTCCTCTCGGCCTCTTGGTCTCAATGGAAGTAAAAGCCACTTACAGTGCATGGCACGGTGTCTGGCCCTGTACAGGCCATCAGGAAACATTTGTGAGGTGGATAGATGAAGCCACATGCAAGTGCTGTCTTTTGTGGTTTAGGATGAATTCCATGGAAGGACAGAGAGAGGGGCTCAAATCTATTGGATGTGCAGCTCCTGTAGTTGGGCTCAGTGAGCCCAGTCCTCATCCTGGGCTCTGGTAGTAGGCAGCAGGGCCAGATCCAGAAGCTTCTGGCATGTTCCTTCTCTAGATTCATGCTCCTGTTGTGGTCCTGGGATTCTCCGTAGGTGGGGTAAAGTTCTCTTAGCCTGTGACTCTGTGTTTTGCTAGGCCTGGGTGCTTTATGGGGTGGGGAAGGCAAGGCCAGAATACCAACCTTCCGTTGGTCTGCAGGCTGCTAGAAAGTGGGCAGCTTTTCTTAGTAGTACCTGCAAAGTCCTGTCCTTTGCCTGGCTTCTAGTGGCCGGGCTTTTCCAATGGCTCATTGGCTAGTCATGAGTGGGGTGGGGGTGGGGGAGCCAGCCCACCTGGCAAACAGGAGCTGAGGCTGAGGGGAGGTTACTCTCCTGATAGGAGAATCAGCTGCTGAGCAGCCCTAAAACAGCAGGCCTCCCTTGTGTTGTGGCCCTTGCCAGCCTCAGCATCCTGCTGCTCTGCCTGACATGGGCTTGGAGCCCTCAGATGACCCTGCATCTCCACGCTCACCAGGCCACATCTCAGCTGTTTTCTTGAGCAGGCCACTTAGACTCTCAGACCTTCTGTCCCTTACCTGTGGAAGGGGTCTGGTAATGATGGGAACTCCAGGCTGCCCTAAGGGTGGGCAGGCTGAAACATGGAGCAGGCACAGGGCTGGGGCAGGATGGGTCCTCACACCCGTGAGCTAGTGTCACCTTCACCCTCTCGGACACCCAGGCACCTGGGCAGGCACTGAGGTTAAGTGTTGGAGGCATTTGTGGGAAAGTTAGCCTGCTCGATGTGGCACTAGAGAATGTCCCATCACATTATTTCATTTTCACAACCATTCTATTAGATGGACAATAATATACTCTCCATTTTCCAGACCATCAAACTGAGGTTCCAGAGTCACTCCATCCAGTAAGTGTGGTGTGTCTGACCCTAGGTCCATTCTCTGTCTGTCGTAACCTGGAGCTCTGCCCTTAAGCCCCTCTTGATGACAGCACTGGGGTGAGGCTCCGCAGTCTTCTCACACACAAGTGGACAGCATGTTCACTGCCTAGCATGGACTCACATGCCTGCACATGTCAGATGTATGTGTAACAAACAGCACTCAGTGTTGTCTGCTTGCCCAACTGCACTAAAGTACCACTGCTCTGGTTCCTGTCTCCTCTTGCCTCTGCGTTCCCTTCTGTTCTGCTCACTCGTTCTTGAGCTCCTCCTTGCTGTCAGAGCTGGGGAAAAAACATAGCCCTCTGAATTGGGCCCCACTACCCACCACTTCTGGCTGCAGGCAGGGGCCTGAACACAGAACATCTGTGGCCATGTCTGTGTCTGATCCTATTTTGGGCCTGGTCTTTTGCATGGCCCATCTGGAGTGCTTTTGAGAGAATTGTCCAAAGTGTGGGAAGTTCTGACACCCAGGCATGACTGCTTCCTTCCCAGGTCCTATCCTGGCGGAAGTCCTCGGGCAGCAGCCAGAAACACCTTCAGGCACGCTCTCCTCAGGTTGGCTACGAGGTCCTGCCTACTATCCTGTCTGAAAGGGATCTGGACAAAGCCCTGCCTGCTTGAGTGGTCACCATGGCAGGTGCCTCGAGGATAGCCAGGCACTGGGGCTAGGATGCATGTCCCTGGTTCCTTGTGTGGTCCCTCAGTTTCATCTCCCAAACCCATCTCTTCCCTCCCTTGGTGAATACCACAAGGAAGGAAGCACCTCTTTCCACTACCTTCTACAGGATGGCCCAGTCCAGGCTGTGATGTTCTTCAGCCACGGGTACCCAGCAGCCCGAGACATTTCTGGAGTTAAGCCGTTATGTATATTATGAAACCAAAGTTCAGGAATTTGAGGAAAATGACCAGATTGTACTGGGCCACCCTTGATTTTTATGTGACAGCTGGAGAATGCATTAGCCTTGGTCTGCCTCTGAGAGTCTAGGACTGTTGGCCTCTAAGACATCCAGCCTGGGTCATCCATCTGCTCTGTGGACTGCCTTTAGGCCTAGCCCTGCCAGACAGACCATTTGTCTACTGGGCCCTACACCTGGCTTAAGCTGCTTTTGCGTGTTGATTCAGACCTGATTCTGAGCTCCACAACTGGCGGTGGGCCCCTTCCCACCTGTCTATCTTGAGGCCTATACTGTCTCTGAACTCACTTTGTTTTCCAGGGCCCATTCTTGGACCTAAATCCCACATGTGGTCTGAGACCACAGCAATGCTCTGTTCTCCTTGGTTATCAGTTTACATCTGTCTGACCCTTTTATCTGGTTTTATAGAAAAAGTTCGCAGTGAAATAACTTTGGAAACACAAATGTGAAGTTTCTTTGTGGCATTACTTCTCAGTGGCCCCCCCACCTTTTTTGTGGTCCTGGGGATTGAACCCCAGGCCTTGTGCATCTGAGGCAAGCACTCTACCAGCTGAACTATATCCCCAACCCTTCTCAGTGTCTTTTTTTTTCTTTTTTGAGAGAGAGAGAGAGAGAGAGAGAGAAAGAGAATTTTTTAAATATTTATTTTTCAGTTTTCGGCGGACACAACATCTTTATTTTATTTTTATGTGGTGCTGAGGATTGAACCCAGCACCCCGCGCCTGCCAGGCGAGCGCGTTACCGCTTGAGCCACATCCCCAGCCCCTTCTCAGTGCCCTTTGATCAGCTCTGTGGAGGAGGGTACAGCATGCCGTGTTCTCCAGGCCTATTAGTGTCATTGGACCTAACAGGAGACACGCTCTCCTCAGGTTGGCTACGAGGTCCTGCCTACTATCCTGTCTGAAAGGGATCTGGACAAAGCCCTGCCTGCTTGAGTGGTCACCATGGCAGGTGCCTCGAGGATAGCCAGGCACTGGGGCTAGGATGCAGTGTCCCTGCAGGCCATATGCAGGTGTCCGTTTCCAGATCCCTGAACTCTGCTGGGGAACAGAAGTGGGTCACGGAGGATGGGACATAGTGACACTGGGGCCTGTCAAGCTGGAGCTGTGAACAGGTCTGTGAGGTAGGAGTGAGGCATCTGCAGAAGAGACACATCCAGAAGTTCTGGAGTCCTGTTGGGTTCTGTGCTCCTACTGAGGATTATTTCCCTTAATGAGGCCCCCAGATCATGAGGCTATAGGCCTAGTCCTACCTTAGGTGAATGCAAAGACAGAAAGCCAAAGGTGGAGGCCAGACCAGAGCGTGGACTCTTGGTACCCATGGATTGACAGAGGTGAGCCAGCCTGGGTGGAAGATGCTGCATTATATTCCTGGCTTTGCACCAGGTACCAGGAGTCAAGCACAGTGAAGAAGGGAGGGGCTGGGGTTCAGTGCTGGCCTGTCTTCCTGGCATAAAGCCCTGGAGTCAATCCCCAGCACCCCCCAACAAAAGGTCCTGGGGTGATAAGCCTGGGCCAGAGATGATCAACGAGGAGGACCTAGGGTAAAGTTAGGAACTGGTGACTCGATGGGTGCAAAGAGGGCGGAGCTGCCAGTGGCTCCTAGGCTTCTCATGTGGAAAAATGGGGCATTAATCACTGAGCTGGGGTGGGAGGTATGTTACCAGACCCCAGTGGGGGGGGGGCTCATGTGACATTCCTGGGCACATCAGCCATAGCAAGCAGCGGCCCAGAGAAAATGCAGAGTATGAAGAGCAGGAAACAGAAAACCCATCCAGGAAGAGACTGAGGAGAGGGTGCCTCTGAGGGACATGGATGAGCAGGTTAGCAAGGGGGTCCTGCTGCAGCTTTGGGAGCGGGAAAAAGCCTCACTGGCCAAGAGTCACTGTGGACAGTGGACAAGATGCAGACATTGGTGGAAGAGACACTGGGGGCTGTGGATGCTCACTGAGCAAGCTGTCCTCTGGAGCAGGCTGTGGGCTGTGCCTCGTGACTTGTTGTGGCCCAGAGCCCTTTGGGAGGGGGTAGGTGTTGTGAGGTGGCTATGTAGGGGTTGGAGCCCCACCAAGGGGATGGTCAGACAGCCACGCATGCCAGTGGACCCAAACGGGCTTGCTGGAAAGTCAGATGTGGACACTGCTGGGGTCCCTGCCCTGGGGACAAGGTGGGCAGCACTCACCCCCCAGAAGAGAGCAGAGTACACACCCCAGCCCTGTGTGGTGAGTCACGCCCTCCTGTGTCCCGAGGCGTGTGTGGGAGGGGGTGGGTGTGTGACCGGCCCTCTCCCCACTCCCAGCCCAGCGCTCCTCTGGGAACCTGGAGCCAGCTTGCCCTTGGCCAAAGCTTCCAGGTCCCTCTGCTAGGCAGGAGGGCTTCAGTGCTACCAAGACAGGCATGGCTTCCTCTGTCCTCCTTGACCCTCCTGGGTGGGGTCCGGTTGAACCTCCTCCTGCACTGTACTTGTCTCCACTGTTCAGCCAGCGTCCTCCCCACCCCTTGGGCTGTATACTTCTGAGACTCCAGGTACACCTGGCATCACAACCACACAGAAACCTCTCCCTTGGGATGGGACCTCTGACATGTGGTGCAGGTGCTCTGGACAGGGTCGGCGAGTTTGGGGGTGGGAGGCAAGGTGCATATTCCTGTTCTACTCCTGTATGAATAACCCGTCTATCCACAGGTATGATTTCCTCATAGTCTCAACCAGCACTGTACACACAATCACCACCCCCAGGGAACCCCAAAGTGTCAGTGGCTCCCTCAGGCCAGGCACCATAGGACCAGAGAGCATTTCTTCTGGTGGTTTTGCCTGTTCCCTGTGGCCACCTCTGGTGTTTCTGGAGCCCTTCTCTGCTGCGGGCCTGGTCTGTCCCCTTCAGGAAGCTCTGCTCTGGGTCTGAACAGCTGGGAGGAGGCAATAAAAACAGGCTGAGGAAGAGACAGCCAGTGGATGGGATGTTAATGAGGTTAAGTAGGAGAGAGAAGTCTCCAGAGAGGGGCTGCCTTGTCCACATGGAGATGAAAGATGAACCCACTTTAGGGAGAGGAATGAGGAGGGGCCATGCAGGTGCAGGACAGGCACTGGAGATTTTGTGTGGTTAAGACAGTACCAAAGGGGAACTCCCACCCAAGGGAGGACTCCTTAGGCCAGCCTGGGGTGGGGGATGACAGAGAGAGGCCAGTTGGCAGAGGGGATGTCAATGGATTACACCACCAAGTGCCAGGTGCCTGCTAATCCACACTGCTCTGCACTGCATAAACAAGAACACGAGAGAACAGCCCCTGTGCAGGCCAGTCACGGGTGCACTCTTATCTGTCAAGTCCACCTGCACTTTCAGATCCCACATAGGTGCCTCCTTTCCCCCAGCACCTCCAGGGTAGCTGGGCCCAACTCCCGAGTCCCTCCCTGCACAGGGTCTCTGGTAGGGGTCCCTGCACCTGGCTGCCCGTTGTGTGGTTGTGACTTGGGCCGTGTGGGCCTGGCCTGCTAACACTCTCTCTCATTGCTCTCTCCTGCCCATCTGCATGTGGCTGCTCTGTCTAGCTGCGCGGTGGTCCCGAGCGCCGGCTGTGTAAGTGAGCATGCCCATCCCATGCCTCTTACAGTCCATGTGCTGTGCCTAGCTGCCCAGGTCTGCTCTGCATGGCTGCGTGGGGCTTTGGGGCCACTGGAAGCTCCTGAGGAATGGGGATGTGGGAGTGGGTTTGCTCTGCTGCAGTCACCCCAGGCAGGCCTCCTGTCATGGTCAGGATGAGGTAGGGCTAGAGGTCCTGGGTCCTGACAGGTGAGGAAGTGAGATGCCATCCGTTCTTGTATGTGTCTGCACATGTCTGCTTGTGAGCCGCTGAGCTCCTGCCATGGCTGCATGTCTGCAACCTGAGTGGGTACCATTGCTGTCATGCACTGTCCTGTGCAGGGAGGCCACCTGTGTGTTGTGGTGTGCTGCGTCCTCAACCTGCACACACTACCCCGTGTGGGGGTGAGCCCCTCTTGGTGTTTGTCTTCAGTCATGGACCTGTTTAGTCTTGTACCACTGTCAGCCTTTTCCATGACTCAGCTGTCCCTGAAGCTAACCAGGTTCCCTGGGTCTCCTCAGGGCAACAGAGCTATATAGGGGGAGTGGTGAAGGCTACTGTCTTGAGCCTTACCGTCTAAGACACCTGTGGATGGTGCCATGCCCAGAGCCAGTGTCGGAGGCTGGAAGTGAAGGGGCAGCTGGCTCTTTGCCATGAGAGGCTGTCTTCTTGGTCCGCTGCTCTTGGAGCCTCCATGAAGTAGGGGAGGAAGGCACCAGTCTTACTGCTCTAGTCTAGGGGTCCCTGAGAGCAGGACACTGGCTCTGACCCTAGGGGCCAAGCAAAAGGCTTAGGATAACCGTGGGATATTCTCCCCAGCCCCAGCCCTCCTGGCCCCTTGCCCCACTCCCCCCTGCCCGCCCCTTTTTACTTCACCCCCTCAACTGGCCCTGACCCCCTCTCCCTCCGCAGGCTCTTCAGCAGCCTCGGTGAGCTGAGCACCATCTCAGCGCAGCGCAGCCCCGGGGGCCCGGGCAGCGGGGCCAGCGGGGCCTCCTACTCTGTTCGGCCCAGCGGCCGCTACCCCGTGGCGCGACGCGCCCCGAGCCCAGTGAAGCCCGCGTCGCTGGAGCGGGTGGAGGCGCGGGAGGCGCGGGGCGGCCCTTCGGCCTCACGCCTCCCACCATCCTCAAGTCGTCCAGCCTCTCCATTCCGCACGAGCCCAAGGAGGTGCGCTTCGTGGTGCGCAGCGTGAGTGCGCGCAGCCGCTCCCCTTCGCCGTCACCGCTGCCCTCGCCTGCGCCTGGCCCCGGCCCCGGCGCCCCCGGCCCGCGTCGGCCCTTCCAGCAGAAGCCGCTGCAGCTCTGGAGCAAGTTTGATGTGGGCGACTGGCTGGAGAGCATTCACCTAGGCGAACACCGCGACCGCTTCGAGGACCACGAGATCGAGGGCGCGCACCTGCCCGCACTCACCAAGGACGACTTCGTGGAGCTGGGCGTCACGCGCGTGGGCCACCGCATGAACATCGAACGCGCGCTCAGGCAGCTGGAAGGCAGCTGACGCCCTACCCCCAACTCCCTGTTCCAGCTGCGCCCTGCGGGCAGGGCTCCCCACCCCACCCCAACCCCGGGCCGCGGGCTCGGCCTGCCCCCTACGACGGCGCCCGGGCCAGGAATGTTGCATGAATCGTCCCGTTTGCTGTTGCTCGGAGACTTGCCCTGTACATTGCTTAGTGCCCTCCCCTGCCCTGCTGCCGAGCCCCCCCAGCACACAGAAAGGGCACGGACCAGGGAGGCTGGGGCGGGAGTTGGTTGGGGGTGGGGTGCTCTGGCCTGACCACCACCTTCACAGCTCCGGGTGGCCATTCTCCCAGAGGGGGAAACTAGTCCAGCATGCGAGGTCAGGACACGCCTTGGTGACTCGGGGGGAGGGGGGAGACATTGGGGTTCTAGATGGGGGCCAAGGAGCCCCCTGTTTTGCATATTTTAATCCACTCTATATTTGGAACGAGAAAAGGAACAAATATCTCTGTCCGTAATAGTTCCCGCCCCCTTTTCCCCTATCCCTCCCGCTGGTCCCACTGCAGCTGCCCAGTCTTCCATCTCCGGCCCCTCACTGCCACCCCATACGGGGCAGGGGACACTCCAGCTGGTCTGGGGTTGGCCAGGGTCCTGGCGGCCCACCCTGGGGCCCCAGCTCGGCTCCCTTCCCTGGCTGAGCTATAGTGTGCCCCACCCACCC